CTCTCTCTCTCTCTCTCTCTCTCTCTCTCTCTCTCTCTCTCTCTCTCTCTCTCTGCCCTCCCTCTCTATGTNCACTGACTGACTTACCAGCCGTCTTCTCTCTCTCTCTCTCTCTCTCTCTCTCTCTCTCTCTGCCCTCCCTCTCTATGCTGACCACACAGGTTCACTTGCTGAAGGACCAGTTGGCTGCAGAGGCTGCAGCTCGACTGGAGGCCCAGGCCCGAGTCCACCAGCTCCTGTTGCAGAACAAGGACATGCTTCAGCACATCTCTTTGCTGGTCAAACAAGTGCAGGAGCTTGAGCTCAAACTGTCAGGACATGATGCCAGTAAGTGACCCTTCTGCTGCCCCTCTCTCAACTCTCTGCCTTCACTCACCGGCCCAGGGTCAGAAGAAGACCTTAAGGGCTGCTTCACCAGAAGCACCAAGAGCCCAAATGTCATCTCTCCCTGCAACCCCTCTCCTGAGGAAGGCAGGGAATGAAGCAGCCCCATGACCCAGCCCTGCTTTCTAAATAAACAACCAAAATCCCCATGGACCCACCTGGTACTTATGAGATGCCTCCTGGGTGCTGGGGGCTGTGGGAAATGTGCAACATGAGCCAGTGTCCCCAGGATGGCTTGCTTATGGGTTGGCTTTGCCACGAGGCAGACTCTTAGGGTGGGTTAAGGGCATAGGAAGGCAGTATAATAGAGTCCTGGGCTTACAATCAGGAGACTTGGCCTGAAATTCCTCATTCCACTCTTATTACTGGTATTTGTTATTCGGTTGTTTCGGTCACATCCAACTCTCTGTGATCCCATTTGGGGTTTTCCTTGGCAAAGATATTGGAGTGGTTTGCCATTTCCTTCTCCAGCCCATTTTATAGATGAGGAACTGAGGCAAGTTAAGTGATTTGCCCAAGGTCACACAGCTAATAAATTTCTGAGGCTGGATTTGAACTTATGAAGGTGAGTTTTCCTGATTCCCAGCCCAGGACTCTATCCGCTGCACCTCCTAGCTTTCCCATTATTGGTATTACTGGCCTCAGTTTCCTCACCTGCTTCTCGAGGTTGTTGTGAGAAGAGCTTTGAGTTCACTTATATTTTCTCTCCTTTGACCTTGGGAGGACAGGGAAAGGGGATCTATCAGCTAAAGATGGGGAAACTGAGTTTGAGAGAAGTCAACCCATGTACCCTGGATCATACAGAAAGTCACTGGCAAAGCAGGGGTTAGAATCCAGATGTTTTATTAGATAGTATATTGACTAGAATGCTGGACTTGGACTTAGCAAGACTTCAGACACTTACTATCTGTGTGACCCTCCTCATCTGTAAAAATGAGATTGATCATATGAGGGGCATGTCTCCACTTCCTCCATTAAGGTTTGATCTCCTTAGCCTTGCCTGGGTGTGAGCTGGATTAAGTTCCCTTAGGTCCATTTCCGTGTTGTAGAAGAGTGATCCAGGGTCACTTCTCTGGCTCATCTGGATTTATTTGGTAGACACTTGCCCTCCTTTTAATCCAAACACACCCATGACTTTATATGGGACATTAATGCAGGTTTTTGAACCCACTGATTTTTCTCACCAGAAATCTCATTTCAAAGCATTGAATCATGGCCTCCCATCTGCCTTCCAACCAAAAGAAGCTGGGACTTTGGGGCTGCCAGTTCCTAACCATTCATTGCCAAGTGCCTATGGTATGCTTGAAGCTGTAGAGAACACTTTCCATTGCTTCTCAACTTCAAATTCCAAAGATCATGGTGTTCCTATAGTCTAGACCACCTTAGCCACTGGCTCACAGGTAGCCCAGGAATTAACCCACCACAGGTCTGATGAAACACAAATTAGATAGAGTGATTCTCAGATTATTTCCCAATTTCTGTTTCCTACCTCCTATGATGGATTTCCTTCTCCCCCAACCTTACTGACCTTCTAACCTGTGATTGTGCTCAACAAAGAGGCTTGATTTGACCGATGAGCCATGTATACTGAGGGTTTGCTGTCTCCTAGGTCTTTCTGGTGTTAGAAGGGTAAGGGGCCAACAGAAACTTAGATGGCTTATGTCTCTAGGACAGCATTTCCCAATCCACAGTCCTTGACAGATGGAATTCTGGTTTCATTGGAGTACAGTACTCCCAGTGTGAAACTTCCCTCCACTGATGGAGGGCACTTTTTCTGTAACTTAACAGTCTTAGAACATTGCAAAGGGCACTGAGAGCTTGTGACTTTCTCTTGGTCGGTAGCAGGACCTGAGCCCAGGTCATCCTGATTCTAGGACTATCTCTCTCCATCATGCCCCGATGGCCTGGCAGATTTCTACCGGGCTAGAAAACTTCTTACTATCCACGTCTGTGTGGGGATTCTCCCACTCCCAGATCCCTCCTTTTCTCTAGCTCCTCACACTCCCCACTTGGAGTCCCTAGATGAAAGTCAGCCAAGTGGCCAAAAGTAGAGAATTCAGCCTTCTGTTTTTAAGACCAATATAATTTGGATTGGGAAACACTGTTCTGGTGGACGTGGTCCACGGATCCTAAGATCCTGTCTAGAGCTGGAAGGGACCTTGGGGACCGTAGAGTTCAACCTCCTCTTTTTACTATTGTGGAAACTGAGGCTCAGAGAGGGAAAATGTGACTTGCCCAAGATTTCACAGTGTCAGAAGCAGAATTTAAACCTAGGTCTTACAACCCCAGAGCCTGTGTGCTCTATTTGTTGTAGCACACTGCCCAGGATGACTCTTTTTCCCAGGGTGATCTTTTTAGTGCCTATAAAAACCTCAGCCCTGAAGACCTAGAGGTGCGTGGTAGTATTTCTCTCCCATAACTTGTTTAACCTCCAATCTCCTCTTGCTCTTCTCTCTTTCACCAGTGGGTTCCCAAGACAGCTTGCTGGAAATCACCTTTCGCTCTGGCGTCCTCCCCGTGCTCTGCGACCCTACAACCCCCAAGTCCGAGGACCTCCACCTGCCCCCGCTAGGCCCCAGCTCGGCTGACTTCGCTCACTCAGTGGGCAGCCCCTTAGGTAGGCGCGACTGTTTGGTGAAGCTGGAGTGTTTTCGTTTCCTGCCACCCGGGGACACCCCGTCAGGGGGAGAGCCTCTCCTGGGCAGCTTGGAGCTCATCAAGTTCCGGGAGTCAGGCATCGCCTCGGAATATGAGTCTAACACGGACGAGAGTGAGGAGCGTGACTCATGGTCTCAGGAGGAGCCTCCTCGCCTGCTGAATGTCCTGCAGAGGCAGGAGCTGGGGGATAGCCTGGATGATGAGATTGCAGTGTAGGTGCTTGTAGGAGGTGGTGGCAGTGGTGGCCAGGCTTCTGGGGATGAAGGACATCAGAGACAATGTGGGAAGGGCGTCATCTCCACGGCCTGTGGTAGCAGGGAGACTGGGAGCACCACCAGCTTGGGCAACATCTTTGTTTGCCCAGTGGGGTGGTGAGTGGGACCTAGAGAAACTTGGGGTTTCCCAAAAGGCTTTAGGGTTTTAATTTGGGAAAGTAGGAAAGAAAAGAAGAGGGTATAACTCCCAATATCAAACTATTACTTCATCCTCCTGTTGATGTGAAAAATGGACCTGGCTTTCTGGGCCGAATTACATCCCTTTAGAGGTTTGCCATTCTCCAGACCTACCAGGCCTATATAGGAAGGACTTCTGTGTCATAAAGATTTGGCTGATAATTCCATGAGGTCACAACAGCCCCCTCCTCTTCCTGTACTCCCTGTTGGGGGGGGATGTTACCTGATGAAGTATCCTCTTAGACACCTCTCCTACATCAGGCCTGTCACCCAATGCCTAACTTTGTCGTCATTGAAAGTAGAGCCAGTGCTAGGCATAAGAGGGTTGAGTGTGCTGGCAACAGAAGCAGGAAATTTTATTCCTCAGTGAAGTATGGAAGTGGCATGTCCCCTACAGGACCAGCCATCTTGGTTTATGTAATCCTTTGAAGCCCACAGGGAGGTGCAAGAATCATAGAAAAAGTATGAGATTGGTCCTTTCTTTGGGTATGGGATTCCTCTTTTCCCCTCTATAAAAGGCAATGCCCCTCAAAATTATAGCTGTAAAGTGGCCCAGACACTTCTGGGCCTTGCCAACAGAAGCCATGTCCTCAGACTTTCAGGGGACTTCAGCCTCTCTTCCTATCTCCTCCCCTCCCCATGCAGATTTGTAGGGGTTTTCAGTTTGTTAAAGGGACACCGACTGGTAGCTGGGAAGGGCTTTGGCCAATGGGAGTCCCAAATGGGCCTCTCCCACTTGAGTCAGGAATTGTTAGCCACATCACCATTGTCCATATGCACACCCGTCTACAATAGCAGAGTGATCGATCCAACACCTCAAAGATATGGATATGGTAAAAGACTAGTAGAGGAGCCTTTAGAAAAAGCTCCCGTTCTTCTCTCTGTCCAGTGAGACAGCAGCTGGTTATTCTTCATGGGAATTTAGAAAATGCCTGAAGGAAAACTGGGGTGTATTGGATTCCATCAGTTTTTTCCTGAGGGAATCAACTCTGTCCTCCATCTTGGAGAGCAAAGCTATAGGCCCAGAGGTCAAGAATTGTTGAAGGGGTTGGTCACCAGGCAGGATGTTTTCATCCCAAATCATTGTTTCAACCTTAAGTTTCCTTTGTATATTAGGAAAAGGAATGTTCTACCTATCCCCATCCTCCATATAACTGCTGCATTTTCTTCTGGACCAAATGGTCCAAATCATGGGACAAAGAAAAAAAGTCATACAACTTTACCATATTTCTCTCCAGAGATTACCATACCAGATGCAATTTAATTGGAAATAGTTAATGTTTGTGTGTGTGCATTTATGTGTGCTCCTGAAGATTGCCCAACTTCCCTGTGTATATGGGAAGGACCCAAGAGCAAAATTTCCATTGTCTGTTGGCTCTGCCCTTATATTCTATCAAAGTATCCTTCTATTCCATTTATTATAGTTCTAAGATAATTCTAATCGATTAATCTTGTCCCTGAACTAGTCTTATTTGTATTTTTTAAAAATACTGAATTAGGCCTAGGTAAAATTAACTGATAATGGGAGAAGAGCACCCTAGGAGAAGCCCATAAGACAAGAAAATTGAGCCATTTGGTCCCTCCCTATCTGGGTTGCAAAGCCTGAATATACTGTATTGTTAACAGGCAGCTTAAAAGAAATAAATTTTTGCTCACCAGAGAGCCTTGCAGGGAGAGGGAGGAGATCTGACAATGCCGGTGGCCTGCTGTGGGCCAGCAGGAGCTAAAGATGAAGCCAGTGGCAAAACGGACAGGACAGGCTGTGCTGTTAGGTAAGAGGAATTTGTGTTGGTAGGCAGGCCTTAGGCAACCTATTATAGGACCCGAGGTACTTGAAGGTGTACATGTATGTATATATGTAGATGTGTAGATATGAACATATACACTATAGATATGTATATACATAGAGAAAATACATATATATATATTATATATATATAGAGAGAGAGAGAGAGAGAGAGAGAGAGAGAGAGAGATGGAAAAGAAGGTGCTCAAATGATACGGAGAAGACAACTATGGTGAGAGATAGGTTGACAAAGGCAAAACCAAATAGAATGTAGAAAGAACAGGGTTGGGGGCAAGGGGAATAGGGATGGCCAAAGTAAAGGTGATGTAAGAACCAGGCAAGTTTAGTACTGAATGCAGCCCCCAGGCTTTAAATTCAGAGCCAATCTCACTCCATGGGAGAGATCTTTCTGACTCCCTCAAGACCTTTTCACTCCCTGCTTCCTCTCTGGCTTCCAATGTTTGCTGGTGGTCCAGTGGGGAAGACCACAAAGAACTGTTATCCCACCGATTTGAACCTGGGTTGAGTGGCAAAGCCAGACTTAGTGTTGCTAGATACTGACTGTTTGGGATTGGAGTTTGGTTCCAGGTGATGGCTATACCCTAAACACCCCCATTGGGAATGCTTCATTTTCTTGGAAAGGGTGGCCTGACTATAAATTTTTTCCTTCTGGTCTGGACCTTTTGCTTCAATGAAAGGAAGAACAAAAAAAGGCTGAGAGGTTGAGCTTGTTACTAGAAGGAAAATAAGTTTTAGATTTTTGCTGTTGGCCCAGGGAGGACTTCCTTTTGCTCAATCAACATTTATCCTGTCTCCTCCCATCCCCTGAGCTAGCCCCAGATATTCCCTGTGGCAACTGTTCAGGTATTGGTATCCTACATAACATGATCCACATGAGTGCCCACATGTCGAAGCATGGGTGGCAGTCACTGTGTGTCCAAAGGGAAGTGTCTTTGGATTCAGAGCTGGGGAGGGCGCAGCCCGAATGCATCAAGGTGGCCTCAGTCATTCGACCCTCAAGCTTGAAGACAGGGAAAGAGCTGCAGCATCTTACACCTTCTGTCCCAGTGGAGTCCCCCCCAACCTCCCAATCCCTCTCCTTTCCTGCTATTCATTATGCTAACTTGTTTCTCTTTCACTCTTCAGTTCTGCAACTTTGTGGAGGAGATATGGACTGGGGTTGGGGGGAGGCAGGTGTGTGTGGGCAAAGCACCTATATCAGGGATGATCAGAGGCTGTGAACTCCCAGACCCCCCAGGAAAATGTACCACTCCGTCACTGCACAGGGGGCTGTGTGTGGGGTCAGGGGAGGAAAGGCAGCTTCTGCTCACCTCGACTGTACATTGGAATTGTAAATGTGTAATTATATTCCTGCTAATCTCAGCACTGTCTGTAAAACTTCTCTGGCCTTACCGCTCTCTATCTACTGATCTTGCTTTCTTGAGGGTTGATTTGATGTTTCATTTATTCTCCTCCCAATCCTTTCCCCTTTCTTCCCTTCCTACAACTGTTGTTTCATTAACTCTATTGACTCAACTCTCTGGAAAATGATTCTGTCCATGTAAGTGCACTTACTCCCTGGATGTTGTCACCGGTCTAGTGGCTTTTGCTAAATAAACCTTTCTTATTTCTAAAGTCTCTTTCTGTCGTCCCTTCTTGTTTCTTACTCTTCTTCTCTACCTGCCTCCTTTCTTAACTTCCTCTCCCCAAGCCAGGCAGATGTGGNAATAAACCTTTCTTATTTCTAAAGTCTCTTTCTGTCGTCCCTTCTTGTTTCTTACTCTTCTGCTCTACCTGCCTCCTTTCTTAACTTCCTCTCCCCAAGCCAGGCAGATGTGTGATGAATGACTCATTTCCTGAGGGGGTGGTTCTTTTGGGGGGTAACAGAAGTGATAGATTTGTATAGGGAGGGAAGGAAGCCTGTCACCTCAGCTGCTGTTCAACTTAATCAGCTTGCAGAGACCAAGGAATCAACACACAAGCATTTTTGCAAACTCATCCTCCTTTGCCTTGCCCTTCTCACACCCCTCAGAGTTTCTGGGATGTTGTGGGCCAAGGCAATGGATTTCCTAGGTCTATAGAATTGGATTGTTGACTTAGAACCAGAAGTGACTTTAGATGTCCTGCCCCTCATGTAAGATGAGGAAACTGGAGCCAGGGGAGATCAGTCAGTGGCAGAGCGGAGATATGAACTCAGGTCCTTTGACTTCAAATCTAATGCTCTTTCCACAGTACCACAATCATATTACATAACCATAGGGTATCATATTTCAAGTTTAATTAATATTCCCAGTTGTTACCAGCACACTTTCTTTTAATGTTTGACTGCTTTCTGAGTCCATAGTTCCAGTCTGGTAATTAAGCAATGATGATGACACCTATTCCCATCTGTTTGTAAGCACAGTAGGAAAGGCCTTGAAATTGGAGGCTTTGTACCCCACCTTTGTCTCCCACTGTGTGACCTTAGGTAAATCACCTTTCTCAGGACCACAGTTTCTTTATCTGTATAATGCGGAGATTGGCTGAAATGACCTAAGATCCCTTCCTTCCTGTTCTAATCTGTCATCCGTATATTGCCTTAAAGTATTTGGGGTTTGGGGGTTTTTGGTGGAAAGAGGGAACTTAGTCCCCATTTGCCATTTAATTAAGGGAAGCCTATTCCAACATAGAACCTCCCCTTAATGTTGTTAATCCTGAGCTCCTTTGTAAGGACAGTCTTAGTGAGTTGCCTTGGGTCAGCTGGTGATCTTGCTGATGACCCCAGAGTTCCCTGGACCACACACTTTGGGAACCACTGGGCTAGCTAATAGGATCTTAGATCTTGAGCCCAGGAGAGAAGAGACACTTGGATAATGTCTCAGGTGTCACAAGTAGTAGGATTTGGGGCTGAATTTGAATTCATGTCCTTTGACTCTTGGGCCAGATGCCTGGGGGCAATTGATAAATGAATTGACTTGCCTGTGCACTCAGATAGCAGACATGTTTCAGAGGCAGGGACTGAACCCAAGTCTTCTTGATCTCGAGCCCGGCCGGTATATCATACTGCCTCTCACTTTCAATCTAATGGTGGCTCATTTACAGTCTAAATTTTGCAGAGCTGAAATGTGGCTAATGGTCAGAGGGCTCTCATTTGGGAGTATGAGCACCCGGCTGCATAGTTAGACCTCTAACTACTATGGCCAGATTTGACAAAGATCAAACCAGTGAATGACACCAGGCCACTCTCTGCCTCACACTGTTCATCACCATCACTGACACACTTAACTTGATGTCTTGAGCAACATTTAAAAAAAAAAGGAAATATAAAGGTTGCCCTTTTAACAGACTGAAAGTTTTAGAAGATGTCTAAAGTTACCTCTATGTGTTTTAAAAAAAAAAACACAACTTTGTTATATACCTCCCCCATCTACCTTGGAATTGGGATATCTGTTTTCATAGAGCAGAGACCATCTGCTTAATTTCCAAAAAAGACTTAATAGTTCTCATGGAAGTGACAAAAGTCCTCAGGCTTAGCTTAGAAGGAATATTTCAAGTCATTCTAGGAATTCTGCAGACTCAATGCATTTGCATAGGACTAGGTCCTCGTTGACGTTCTTACTGATTTTACCCTCACGCGGTCAGCAGAAAAGTCCAGACATCACGCCTACTCTTAGTATGCAGACAGATGGAACAAATGACCGTGCCTCTACCCAGAAAGAATGATGGTCCCCATTACCAAGTGGCCCCAAAACAAATGACAGATGAAGAAAAACCCCAAATAAATCACAATAGGGTTCTCCTGCTAAAAGTGTAGTAGTCTAATTTGGGAAGCAGGGACTGTTTACTGTGTCAATGAGAAGTTACTGAGTTATCTTGAAGGCCACAATGCAGAAACTAGGCCAGTGGAGTAGGAGACCTTGTATCTGCTTTCTTTGTCTCTCCTGAAGACAGGAGTACAGGGTGTAGACCTTATCAGCCTTTATGGTTTCTGCTTCAAAAGGAAGGACAGGCCAAGGTGGACAACCTATGCCATCTATTTATTTGTCATTTGCATCCTGCCTGCTGCCAAAAAAAGAACTACGAGGTGGCTCACATAATTAGTCACAATATTAAATGAATTAAAATAAAAACAGAGCCCCCCAAAAATCTGCTTAAAGGAACAGAATAGAACCTGGATACAAATCTTACATCTGCTACTTAGTACTTGTGTGACCTTGGGCAAGTCTTTTGACCTCTCTGGGGAATCATTTTCTGTACCTATAAAATGAGAGATTTGAATTAGGTGATGTCTAGATCCCTACATAGCTAAAGGTTAGACTAAATGACCTCTGACTGTCTGTTGCTCTGAACGTCTCTGACCCAATGATACTGCAAGTACTCTTCTCCCCATTTCTCTGATGAGAAAACTGGGACTTCTTCAAACTTACCTTTCTAAAGGGTAAGTGACTAAGTACTACACTAACTTATTACTGTACCAAGTAAGGTTGTTTGACCAACGAGGGTTAGAGGTAGGAAGTGACATAGGTGAGGAATCATTCTGATTTTAGAGCAAATATAAAAATGATTTTCTCAAAGTCCAATAGCTAGTCCCTATGATCAGGAAATATACTCTTGCTAGGCATCTCCTAAGCAGTGACAGTGTCCCCCTGAGATGAGCTAGCAATTTTTTGGGCTGAGCTCTCCTTCTCACTCTTAAAAATTATTGAGTATCCCCCACCAAAGGATTTTATTTATGTGGGTTATATCTACTAATATTTAGCATATAAAAATTAAGATGTCTTATTATTGTGAAAATAGTTTTGACCTTGTGGACCCCCAGAGGTCCCTGGACTGCACACTTTGGGAACCATTGGGCTAGCTCATAGGATCATAGATCTTGAGCCCAAGGGAGAAGAGAGAAACACTTGGATAGTTAAGTGACTTGCCCAAGGTGTCACAAGAAGTAGGGTTTGGGGCAGAATTTGAATTCATGTCCTCTGGGCCAGTGCTCTTCACTATAGTCCCTTCTGTAAGGGATATCTCCAGGCCTAGCTTCTGGGCTTCACATTTGAGTTGTAAAATAGACTCAGGAAATTGGAGGATGAGCCCTCATCACTATCACTGGATTTGGCAGGAGCAGGATAGAAGGAGCCCTGTTTGAACACCACAAGGAAACATGATGTAATGAGAAAAGGGGATTGTCCAGGTCTTGCCCTTCTCCATTTATGGAAGGTGTTGGTCAGAGAGAATAAGAAAACGTCAAGTATTAGTGTATGTTTCTGTGTGTGTCTGTGTGTGTGTGTACATGTACATACATATATACATAGGCATGTGTACAAGCATGTCTGTATATCATCATCATAATAATAACATTCATATAGCACCTACTGTGTGCTAAGTGCTTTATAATTATCTCATTTGATCCTCACAAAAACCCTGGGATATAGATACTATTATTATCCTTATTTTACTGATGAAGAGACTGGGGCAAACAAAGGTTGAGTGACTTGCCCAGGGTCACACAGCTACTGTGTTTGAGGCTAAATTTGAACTCAAGTCATCCTGACTCCAGGCCCAGGTGCCCTATCCACTGTTCATGTACCCATGTTTGTGTAATTACATACATAATATACATTGATTTTTATAGTCAAGAAAAACTTGGCTGACCTTTGATGCAAAATACAATGAGAAACATGGTACAGTGGAAAGAATACTGGCTCTGGTGTTGAGGGACTTGGGTTCAAATCCAGCCACTGACTCTTTGTGTGGCCTTGGTCACTTTATTTTCTTGAGCATCACTTTCCTCATCTGTAAAATGATCTATGATCCTAGGACATTGTCAAATGAAGTTGTGTAGCCAGCCTGAGGCTAGCCTGCCTGGGAAAGAAAGAAAACAAAACACACACACACACACACACACACACACACAAAGAGAGTCCAACTGATTACATCTTCCAGTAAGTATCTGTGGGATTGTGCCCCCTTGTAAGGAGATGGCATTCAGTCCTAAGACTTTCATTTACCTCCAGGATCCCCAAACCCAAAAAATGAGTATTTCTCCTCATGCCATGACTGTAAGGGATCACTACAGGGCCTGAGTGAGAAGTAGAGGGTCTTCTAGTGACCGTATTACTAAAGAGACACGAAGCCTTCAGGAATCCTCATTAGATTAGGTGGATCTGGTTAGGAAACAGAAACACCAAGGACTGAATAGAAGAAACGTGGTTTGGGCAAGGCAGACAGTGATTAGACCACCACCTCCCCCATTCTGGGCATTCATTAAATCTCTCTTACTGCAGCTTAAGATTGCATTCACTTTTTTGACTTCTGTAAAGTGCCATTGGCTCCTGTTGAGCCTGTAGTAACTAAAGCACTCGGCATTCTTTTGCATTTTTTTTACAGGACCTGTTTCTAGCCACTCCTCCTTCATCGAGTATTTATACAGTTGATTTTTAAAATTCATAGTGTAGAACCTGACACTTATCACTGTTCAATTTCATCTAGTTCAATGTGGTCCATTGTCCTAATCTGATGAAAGCACTTTTGAGTCTCAATTCTGTCATCTAACACATTAACTGCTTTTTTTTTCCTATTAAACATATTTTCACATTAGTCATGTTTTAAAGAAAAATTAGAACCAATAGGAGGAACCACCAGAAAAAAGAAACAAAACAGAGAGAAAAAAAAAGT